TGGTGAGATCTCACCTCTTTTCTCACCTGTTTTTTCACCCGTTGAATTTTCATGAATTTCCTTAAGATAGAAAAAAAGTGAGTTAAAATGAGATGTTTACTGAGGGGGTCCCTCGGTCCCTCGGTCCCTCGGTCAACTAACATCTTTTTGAAAATGGTGACAACATGACATTTTGACAACAGTCGGGAAAATGTCAAGACTTCTTCATCGTAACGAGTGTAAATGAACCAAAAATATATTTTAGGTGAAGAGGTGAGATCTCACCTGTTTTCTCACCTCTTTTCTAACATGGTCTAAAACTCTCGAAAATCATGAAATTTACACCAAAAATATAATTTAGGTGAAGAGGTGAGATCTCACCTCTTTTCTCACCTCTTTTCTCACCCGTTGAATTTTCATGAATTTCCTTAAGATAGAAAAAAAGTGAGTTAAAATGAGATGTTTACTGAACTGGTTGGATGTCGCCTTCTGTAGTTATGTAGAATGGTTGACCAGAGAAGTGTAAGAGTCCTCGGAGAATTTGGTTCATTCTTGGGAAAGGGTTCTCTCTGTTTGGAAGTAGTATCCATGGGCGCTTTGCAAAGAACTTGAGAAGAGCTTCTTTCTTCATCTCCTTTATGTCGTCGTAGGCTGTCCCGTCTGGTATTTGAATTGGAATTCCAGTCGAAGTCTCGAGATTCAAGGCACCTCTTCCAGACAACCAGAAGCCGAGGGACTTGTTGGCTTTGTCCTTGCCCAAGTACTGCTTAACAACTTCATTTATCTCTATAAGGTAAATTGCCTCATCTAATGGCTCGATGTTGTCCATTGTTCTGTTTCAGAACAATACTTGTTCTGTTTCAGAACTAGTCTTGTACTGTTTCAGAACAATATTTGTACTGTTTCAGAACAATACTTGTTCTGTTTCAGAACAATATTTGTTCTGATTCAGAACAATATTTCCCGTCAAAGCTCTCAATTTGTGAGAAAAATTTTCTGTTTCAGAACAATATTTGTTCTGAATCAGAACAATATTTGTACTGTTTCAGAACAATATTTGTACTGTTTCAGAACAATATTTGTACTGTTTCAGAACAATATTTGTACTGTTTCAGAACAATATTTGTACTGTTTCAGAACAATATTTGTACTGTTTCAGAACAATATTTGTACTGTTTCAGAACAATGTCCGACGTACCACCAAAAAATATATTTTATGTTAGAATGTTAGATCTAACATGTTTTCTAACATTTTTTCTAACATCGTAGAAAACTCTTGAAATTTCATGAATTTTGACACTTTCACAAAAAACATAAAAAATAAAGTTAGTTTTTTTAAAAAAATATTTTTTATTTTTATTGTAAGAACATGTTAGCAACAACTTCACCAAACTCTTTAGTCATGAACCCAACATCTATGTTAGTAGAGATGAAAAGCTTCATTCCTTCTTCATATACTTTCGAAACAGAAATCCAGAAGATAAAGCAAGAACTTCTCCAAGGAGATTTAGACTGTTGTGCAAAAGATGAAACAAATGAACAATATCTTTACGAAATGGAGGATATTATTGACCATTTGCCTAAACTTCCTGAAATACAACAACAAAAGCTTACTATTCCTGAATTCGATGAAATTGAAGTCAGACCAACCGACTCAGTAGAAATAAAGAAGTTCATACGTAAGGTAAACTATGAGTTTCTAGGATTTCATTGCAACCACAAAGTCATGGACAAAGACTGCGACATGGTATATAAGAACATCTCTGACATATATAAATCTGGGGAGTTTAAGACCTACGACAACTTTGTTTCGTTAGTTGCTGAATGTGTATGGCAGATAAGAGATAAAGATAGAAGATGTAAAGTATGGAACGAACAGATAAGACCCGCTATGTTTGAGATGAAGAGAGCAATTGACGCTTTAGTTGTTTTAGCAGGACAAATTTCAATGTACAATGCTAAAATGAACCCACAATGTTCTAAATGTAAAGCAGCAATGAGGAAATATAACTACTCCGTCAAAGAGATAGAACGTATGCGAAACGACTATGCAGACTTAAAGACAGAAGCAGAGAAGCCAGCAGAAGATAAAATGGACATGTTAGAATTTCTGAACAAAAACTATCCAACAGCAGAAGATTTCCTTCTATCTGACGTCAAGAAGAAATATAAAGAAACTTTCGGCATAGTTAAAACTTTTGACATACTGACAGAAGAAATAGAAGCTACGAAATTGTTTAGGATTTCAAATATACATCGTACAATTCATGTAAAACGCTTGTGAAAAAAACAGGTGAGAAAAGAGGTGAGAAAACAGGTGAGATCTCACCTCTTCACCTAAAATATATTTTTATTGAATTCTGTATAAAATTTCATGAGTTTTGTGTGTTTTAGACCATGTTAGAAAAGAGGTGAGAAAACAGGTGAGATCTCACCTTCTAACATAAAATATATTTTTGTCTGATTTACACTCATTTCGATGAAGTCATGACAAAACATTTACACTCATTTCGATGAAATCATGACAAAACATATACGAAGAAGTTTATTTCCTGGACTGTTGTCAAAATGTCATGTTGTCACCATTTTCAAAAAGATGTTAGTTGACCGAGGGACCGAGGGACCGAGGGACCTGGTGACCCTCATGAAAATTCAAGAGGTGAAAAAAGAGGTGAGAAAAGAGGTGAGATCTAACCATCTACCCTAAAATATATTTTTGCCGAAAAAATGACCAAATTTCATTATATAACTGTTATTTTTTTACGAAGAGAACTTTAACACTTCGTAAAAAAATCCCTGAAATCATATCTTTTATACATGAAAATCGTAAAAAATTGCGATTTAGATTTTTTTTGGTCTTGCATAAAACTCATGAAAATCGTGAAAAAATGACCAAATTTCATGAATTTCCTTAAGATACAAAATAGAAAAAATAAAGTTAGTTTTTTAAAAAATATTTTTTTTATTTTGTATGTAAGAAACAGAAAATGACAAACATTGAGTTTGAAACAGTTAGAAAGATAGACAATGACACCAAAGTGGTTCGAATAGGTGATTTAAACGTAAGATACTCAAAGAAATACAAGAAATATTCTTTGTCAGACATTATATCTCCATCTGGAAAGAAAACATCCCACGACTGGGTTAAAAATGCTTCTAGTCAGAAAATTTTGACAAGAAATCCTGAGCTTATGATATCAGTAGCATTTCATGGAACAAGAGCATATCTTATAGACAAAAGTCTTATACCAATAGTTTTGTTATGGTTAGACCCAGTTGTTGGATATAACTTCATAACATATGGTTCATTCGATACTGAACGTTGCAGTGAGGGCTTACTTTACATCGTTCAGAAACCGAAGGACTTCAACACAAAAAGATATAAGATAGGAAGAACATATAATATAACTAAAAGATATGACAGTATAGTCAATAGAGTTAAGGTTGTGTTTGTTAACGATATGAGAGCTGCTGAAACAGAACTACTTGAAAAGTTTGAGAAAATGTATGGTGCTCCCACGAAAGGTAAAGAAACGTTTGAAGTAGATGAGATAGGTAAAGCTATAAAATTATTTGACGAAGTTGCTGAAAAATACATGTAAAGCGTTTATTTTTGGTCTTTTGTGAAAGTCAGGAAATAACGCTAATTTTTAAAAAAATATTTTTTTTATTTTGTATGTAAGAACAGATATGACAACAACAGAGAACACAACAACTGCTATCGTTCATGAAGCTATAAATGAAGAATATGAGTACATACAGTATAACAAACAGTTACGTCTCATTCGTTCGGTCAAAGACGATATGTACCAAATGCAAAGTATTTTGACAGCATGTTTTGCACCAGATACTAAACACGCAGACGACTGGTTCAGAAACCAAAGCACACAAGAACTTTTGAGTGAAATTTCTCTAGACCGACTTTTTTCGGTCTTGCATAAAACACATGAAAATCGTAAAAATTTGCCAATAAATTTAAGAGGCTGGTATGTTCATAGACTTTTAGTAAATGCTGTTGCAATATGGGCTTCTCCTCGTTATGCATGGCATGTTTACAAACTTCTTGACGAAATTCATAGACAAGAACGTGAAGAGCTAGAGAACAAGCTTGAAGCAAAAGACAAAAGCCTTCAGAAAAGAATACCACGTTCGGTACCAAAAGGAAAGGAAAAGAACTATAAGTATATGATTTATACTGAAGAGATGGAAAATGAAGAAGACAGAGATATGGTTATGTTGCATTTAGTCAGAAGAAACAACAAAAGCTTTTACGACCTTGCTAAGATTTACAAATCTGACAGAAATTGGTTCTATCGCGAAAACTTACCGATTTCAATGACCCCAAATGAAGATGTGAAACAAATAGTTCAAGATACGTTACCTCAAACACACTATGATATTAAAGGTTGTACAATACTTACATTCAAAGAAGATTTGCCGCTACTGAAAGAAAAAATAACAGAGTATTTTGACAACTTCAAACAAGTAGAGTAGATGAACCATTTATTTTTCAAGCTTGACTTCAGATGGCTCAGGTAGCTCTATAAGGTAAATTGTCTTGTCAAATCCTTCTGGCATTCCAAGTTCTTCCTTCCGACATTCCAAGTCCTTCCTTCCGACATTCCAAGTTCTTCCTTCCGACATTCCAAGTTCTTCCTTCCAACTGGAAAAAAATTTCCCGACAACTGGAAAAAAATTTCCCGACAACTGGAAAAAAATTTCCCGACAACTGGAAAAAAATTTCCTGTTGTTCGTCCGTAAACCATTCAAATTTTCGAAAATTGAGAACTTTTTGGTCGAACGACAGAAAAAATTTTTCCTTCAGACAGGAAAAAAATTTCCCGACAACTGGAAAAAAATTTCCCGACAACTGGAAAAGTTTTTCCTTCCAACAGGAAAAGTTCTTCCTTCCGACAGGACACAAACGAATGTCCGACGTACCACCAACCGAGTCCATTCCAAAGCCAGAAGAACCGAAAGCTGCAGAACCACAACAGACTAAGACCAAACACTTACATTTTTTACGCTTGACTTTTTACAATTTGAACTTTGTTTGCGTAGATGTGAATTCTGAAAGAAGTATGAGGGTCTTGTATGACTTTGTACTTCTCCCATAGTTCATGTCTGTCAAACTTACCTGCCATGGACTCTTTCATAAGTTCCATGAAATCGTCTTCGGACAATCCGGGGAAAAGTACAATGTCAGTAAGTATTCTCTTTACATCCTTACTTAAACTCTTGGCTGTCTGTACACAAATGACAACTGAGATGTTAAAGTGTCTGAGCTTCTTAAGAATTCGACACATGTCTTGTTCTCTGTTCTTTAACAAAGGATGAGAAGCAAAGTCATCTAAGATAAGAAGACATCTATGAGGGTACGTTTTCCAATCGTAAGATTGCAATTTCTTCGAAATGTATTCTATCTCTTTCTGTTTGTTTCTGAAGTGTTTCTTCTCTAATATTCTCTGCATTTCCTCATTTGGGTCTTTAAACTTCGAATTTATATACTCATTTATAGCATTGTACTTCAAAACTCTTCTTTGGTACTTCTTTATCCAATCTAACAACTCAGAGTCTTTTATACATACTAACTTAGACTTCTTTATAATATCTTTGAACGAATTGACGGTTTGGTCAAATTGACCAGAAGTACTACAAATGACAACTAACTCATAGAATGGGTTCTTCTCATCTAGTTCTTGTTGTTGTGCAGCCATTTTAAGATAAGTGAAAGTCTTACCCGACCCAGGCGGTGCAATTAGACCTGTTATACCATTCTGAGCAAATAAGAACTTGTCATGTATGGGTTTTATCTGAGCATTTTCCAACTTCCTCTTGTTCTTGTTTAAAACATTCTCAAATTTTTTGTCAATGTCAGCAAACTTTTTTTCTAACATATTTTTAGAAAAATTAAAATTTTTATCTTTTAGAAAATGTCTAGCGATTTCGCTATCTATATTCGAGACAAGCTTTTCGACAGCAAAACATCTGTCGACCATAAAATCTTACATAGTGTAAACAAGAAAGGTGAATTTGTTCTAAAGTTCTGTTTCTGGGAATATGACAAGAACCATAAAACATTAAGCAGAGAAGTCTTAAAATTTGTCAATGACAGACTTGTTGACAGAGATGACGCCTCTTGGAGAGATGAAGTCCAACAAAACTTCTTAGAATGCAAAGAAGACACATGCACTGTTCTTGAAGATGAAATAGAAAACAGAATAGAAGAGCTATTAAAGGACAAAGAACTTTTACAAAAATATGGTTCTGAGAAGTTTGACATAACTCCACCAGAAAAGAAGAAGAGAGAAAAGAAAGAAAAGAAAGTAGAAGAAGAGAAGAAAGAACCAGTTCCAGAGAAAAAGAAATTTGACATGTAAAAATAAAATTTTATTTTTAGAACATTTCTGGGTCAATGTCAATGTTCTCTTCCTCTTTAGGAGCAAACACTGGCTTAGACTCTAAAATCTTTTTACCCAATTTACCTTGAACTTCTACAACTTTAGACTCATAATATTCATAGTCGTCTGCTTTCTTTGGTTCATAAGGTATAACAAGTTTGTATGCTTTGCCTTCTTCGAGTTTTGAGAACCTTCTGTCAAAACTTTCTTTGACTGCTAACAAACCTTCTATGTCTAAGTCTTCAAATTTCGCACCATTTTTAGTCACAATAGCAAACTTAACTGGTTCGATGTTCCAAACTTTGCTGAATGAAGACTTTTCAAAATGGTAGAAGTAAACATTCAAATATGTGAATGGGTCTAGTTCTTCTTTAAGTCCTGACATGTACTTGTTTACTGAGATGAATTTTGTCATCTTTTCTATCGGATAAAAAAAATATTTTTTTTTAAAATTTACTCAGAAAAATTTTTCTTTGTATATACACCATTCTGAACATCTAAAAGACTTTTGACATTTGCCAAGAATGTTCGTTTAGACGCTGTCATATAACCATACTCTTGACAATATTGTTTATACGAATCGTACAATGACCTTTCATCTAAACACTCAAAGTCAGTTTCATCTATGAACAGTTCATATACACTCTTGTTTGCTTCTAACAATGTTTGTCTCTCTTCGGTATGTGGAATTTGTCTTGGATTGAACTTTGAAATATCTAATGTCATGAAATATGAGAACAAGTGGTTGTAAAAGTCAGATGTCAAAGTTTCTGCTAAGTCGTCAAAATATTCTGTATCTTGCATATGAGCTTCTGACGTTCTGACAACTACATATCTTCTGTCAGAACTTTCTAACTTCATCGGAACAGCATTGTTTGAAACCATAATGAAATTTGCAACATTTTCACAAACTCTTTGGTCTTTATATTTTCTTTCAACAACTCCAACTTTGTCTGTTATAAGACTCTTCAAAGCATCTGAGTTAAAACTTTTGTTGTATCTATACTTTGAAGTTCATTGCAAACTATAAGTTTCATATTCTCTATTGAAGAGTTAAATTTACCGCAGATGTTTTCTAAGTTTGTCATATTAGGGTTCGAATAACCTTCTAACAGTTTGCATAAGATATCTGTAAAGAAAGTGTTCTTACCAGTTCCTTGTTTTCCAATTATAATGAGAGCAGTTTCATTCTTAGCACTTGGATGTTGTAAGATGTTTGCAAACCAACATAAGATATACTCATAAACCTTTTCGTTTCCATTGCATATAATTTCTTTGACATGGTCTAACCAAGCTTCTATAATATTTCTTTCCATTCTACTTGTTCGTATTTATATCCAGTGAAGATAGAATAGAAGTTTGGAGAAGGTGTATAGAACTTTATACCTCGAACTGAAAAATCTTCTAACTTTGACAATAAGATATCCCAAGCATCTAACATCTTCATGCCAACTTGTACGACTTTTATTTTCTTAAGTTTCTGTTTACATTCTTGTTCTGAAACTATTGTTGCTCTTGGTTTGTTAAAGACAACATCCCATTCTTTCATAACATAACATTCTGGGGCAGAGTCGACATAAATGACTAAACGTTTCAAATTCTCGACTGCTTTGTTATAGTCTCTAAATGGACACATATTTCTGAATGCTTGGAAGTCATAAAAATCTGAAACATCTATTCTGTACATTTTTATAAAAATAAAAAAAATATTTTTTTTTATTCTTGAGCTATTTGTTGCATTTGTTGTTCTTGACTATTTGTTGTTCTTGAGCTATTTGTTGTTGAAGTTGTTCTTGTAATACAATACTTTCACCAGTTGCATCTTCCAATTCGAAACTTTCTGCCGTCATTGACAAATACATAGGACATAAAAGTTTTACAGGAACAAAGTTTGCGTCAACTAAGGTTAAGTTTATGTTTGCTAAAGTGTTTGAGTTTACTAAAGCTGAAAACTCTGCATTCGAATGAACAATAGGCAAACCAGCAGAGAATGTGTTATTTATACGCATAAGTATCTTTTGGTCATAGTAGTTTCTGTCGACATTCGAATAACACTTTGAACCTAAGTTTGAAACAATATATAAAATAGGTGTACTTAAAGTCAATGGAACAGACATTCCTTGTATGACACCTTTTCCTGTTATAGGAAACTGTTGGTAGTAAAAACCAGATATAAGTTTTGTATTATAGCTCATATTGTTTATAGTAAACTCAGTCGGACATCCAAACATAATGAAACCTGCTCTAGTTGCAGCACATGTTACACTCGTCCTTAAAGTATTAAATAAGTCAACAAAACCTGTTGGTGGTATATCTGAGTAAGTATCTTCAAAGGAGTATTTTTTACCATTCACAACAATAAAATCTTCTGGTGTCAAAAGAGCAAAACAGGCTTTAGTCGTCATTGTGTTTAAGGTTAGTTTACAATATCGTCCTTGAGGACTTTGTAAGTTTGTTGTTATAGAATTATATGACTCAGGGTTTTTAGTCGTAATAGTATAAACCATTGTGTCTTCTGCCATTTACTTAGCAAATAAATTTTAATGAAATGTTGTGGTCGTCAAATATTTTTATAACGTCTGGGAAACTATATTTTAAGTTCAACGTTTCACCTCCTTTCATAACGTATATCTTGTCAATGACATTATATGAAACACCACAGCAACTAATGTCGGGTTCTATTTCTTTGATGTTTATATCGTCTGCCTCTGTCAAAAGTTTCAATAGTTCTTTCAAAACTTCATGAGGTGCAATGACATATGAGTTCACTTTTACAGGGTTGTGTTCGACCAAGTTTAACATTATACCTAAAGCTTGACAAATCTTCTCCTGAGTTTGAAGTTTGTCTTTCAGTTGTTGGTAGTCATTTCGAATATCTGCAACAGAACTTAAGTCTCTGCTAACTTCAGGGTATGTTGGTTGTTCTTTTACAGGAACAATTGTTATACCATCTTGGTCTTCGTATGGTTTCCCCACTTCAACATCTCTGTCTTTGACATTGACAATAACACTTTGACTGTTTGTTTGAGTTGGTGAATTTAACTTCACATCTGCCACCGCCATTAAACCTTTTGAAACACTCACGCTTCTATTTTTCGGAAATGACATTTTACTTAGAATAAAAAGATGGACGTATTCGAGTATCTCTTCGAATTGAAGCAGAACAAAGTTTACACACACAAACAATACAAATACATTGACAGAATAGTTCTTTATACAAACAATGGAAAATGTTATAGAATAGCAGTCTTTGCTGAACCAAAATATTTCCATAAAGCAAAGAAAGTTGGTATAACTGAAATGGTGAAAGTTCTTGAAGCAGACAAAAATATAACAACAAAACTGACCGATATTTCTAAAGGTAAGTTTATAATACAATTTTATGTCAAAACTGGCGTACTGTCAATATTTGACGGAGAGAAGTCAGTTCAAGAACAACTTACTGACCTGCTGCCAAAATCTGCTCGATGGAAGCTGTCGTTATGCCAATCTGAGGAGCCCCAGCAGGTTTCATCGAACGAATCTTCAAAAGAGCATCTTCCGTGAAAAGTGCTATTGGTTTTGTAAACTTCTTTGCTTTCAATTCATCTGGACCGTCTCTGTCACCAGTATATTGTATTTGAACTGTACCAACAGTTGAAATACCACCCATAAAGTCTTCTGAGTCAGCAAATGGAATGCCAAGCCAAAAGTTTGAACGGTCTCCATTTGTATATTGAGTTTTTTGACCTCCTGTATGAGTCCATACTTTCACATATGGCATAATAGAACTTTGCATTTCAGGGTTAATGGTTGTTGTGAAGTTGTTGTTAAAGTTCATAGCATCTAATGTCAAGTTGTATGACCTCATATCCTCAACTGTAGAATATTCTTCTCTTGGATAATATTTGCCATCTATGTTTATATGATATTTAATACCGGGGTTGTAGAAACAAGAATAGTCATTTATATAGGGTGTCCAAAGGTGTGTTTAGCACAAACCTGAATACTGCGAATAGAAATAAACAAGTTACATATATATAAAGTTTATTTAAATATAATCACCATTGGATTCAATCACGCGTTCGCAGCGATCGATCCAGGCTTCAAAGACACGCTTTAAATCATCATAAGAAAATTGCTCAAATTGCTCTCTTACAAAATTTTCAAGATCATCTGGACTCGCGAATTCGCGTCCTTCAGCTCTCTTTTTTAGCGTGCCGAATAAATAAAAGTCAGAGGGTGCAATATCAGGTGAATAAATTGGGTTTGGAACAACTTTGACATTGTTTTCCACCAAGTAATTCATTACCTTATGACTTTTGTGAACTCTTGAATTATCAAAATGAATTGCAAACTTTTGTTTTGTTGTTTGGATTTCTCAAACTCATCAGAATTGATAATTTGAGTAAGAACATTGTCAATTAGATACTGAGCATTCCATCGTATTAGGTTTTTGAAGAATATCAATTGCGATGATGTCATTCACGCCAAAAACCGACAACATCATCATTGGTGTGTCAATTTTTTTCTTCGGGAATGTTTGCGGATTTTCATCCTTCGGGATCCACATGATTTTGGCTTCTGTTGCATATTGAAACCAAGACTCGTCCCTGTTACTAAAAAGCGAAACTTCTTGGATTGATACGCACCCATATAGAGGGAGCTCTTTCGAAGATTGGACTCTAGATTTTTTTGAACTGAATTAAGGTTGTGCGGAACCCAACGTGTATACGCTAGTTTGTAGTTCAAATAATTGTGCAGATAATAACTGACTGTTGTACGTGGTATCTTTGTCATCTCCTCTATCCTTCTGAGTGATGCTCTTGGTTTCATCTAGCGCTTGAAGAATTGCTTTGATTTTTCTTTGATCCGGCGATTTTTTGTCAATTTTTATGATGGGCGCCTTTTTGTTCATGAAGTGATACATCCTAACATGATACGTTACAGTGAATAGCTAGGAGCATCCATACCGAAGCATTTTACCAATGTCTCGTAGATTTTTTACAGTCTTTGCATTTTTTTGCAAGAGCGAGGATGTTTTCTTTATGATTCATTAAAAAAATGAAAAAAATCCCGCCAAAATTTCCACGCGAAACCGCCTCTTGTCTCAAAATTCATTTTATATCCCGGCATGGCGCCAAAATACAACATACTCATCATATACATATATTCATATTTTTATTATATATTTATAAATCAGCATATATTCCTTTAATAGTTCATATAGAGCGCTGTGCTAAACGCACCTTTGGACACCTATAGTTCGTCTGAAAAGAACAAACATAGTATCTGCATGTTTCATTGCAGTTGTTAAAGCAATATCTGTTTCTTGCACCTGGGTCAGCACTTTGGTTTCCAACTTCACCTGCAAAGTCTTTGACAGATATTGGTGTATAGTGAACATAATGGAACTGCAATATATTTGGCAGCTAAAGCATTTGAAATATCTGGGTCCAACATATAGACTGCAAGTCTGCTTTCTATTCTCTTGCATTCAAACTTTTCGCATGTGAACTTAACTGGGTCCAAGCAGTATTGTTGTCTGCTGTTCCTGAGAAGTAGTAGTTTACTTCATTGTTGAAGTTTGAGAAACCAAAGTCTAGTCAACTTTGTCTTTGCACCATTTTCCAAATGGTATGCTGGCAGCTCCACCAGCTGTATCTGTAAGAGTGAATGGGTCTTGTGTTGGTGCAATGACTAAGTTATTTTTGCTTGGAGTAAGTTCGATAGAAATTTTTCCTGCCCAGTTTGGCAAGTATCTTAAAAACCTGAAGATGAGGAAAGATGACAAAGGAACTCTAAGTTTCTTTTCAGTTTTACTTTGGTTACTTGCTGCTGCAGTTTGTCCAGAAAGGTCAACATAAACTCCTGGAACGTTAGGTCAGTTTTCCTTAATTTTCTAATAGTTGCAATATGGTATGTCTTGTATCTCTAG